TTGAATTACCTAGAACAATAAGATCAAAACTGCTCAAAACCAATAAACCACCCCATACATCTTTAAGCTGAAAGATAGATTTAAAATGCACACTATATTTTAAACAATAGATTGTATTTTTCTAAATGTGGCAGAGAACTTAGTGGTATAAAACAGACAAGTGTTAACGGGACGTGTGAGGAGAGAAGGAAGGTGGAGGAGGGAGCGGGGTGGGAGGGAGGAGATGACACAGGGTGGCTGGGGGTCAGACACCTCCACCGCCGGGAACAGGAAAGGACCCTGATGCCGTCACATGGAAGGGTCCTAACCCTCTGAAGACAGGAGAGATGGAAGGCTTGAGAAGGAAAGAAGGGGTAAGCAGGTGGGCTGCGATCATGCTCGCCAGATGGAGTTTGCTCTTTTCTCTCCAGGACTCGGGGAGGGAAAAGGTGGGAGAGCAAGGCTCTTCAGTGTGGGCTCCGACAGAGATGCTCTTCTGGCACTACTGGTCCTGACTGTGGGTCCAACGTTGATCTTAATGGCTACGTGACCTGCAAGGGTGAGTTCATTGTACTGTCTGCAGTCTCTCATCAATTCAAAAAAAAAAAAAAGAATAATAAAATATACAACCACAGCAAACTTAGAGATGGATGAGTGTTGAATTCACGAATGGATGAATGGTGGATGTTGACTGACTTCAAGTTACTCAATGACTACTTTTTGCCATGAAGCAGGGATTTTAACGCATTATCTCTTTCTATTCTATCAAACTGATTCTAATAGTTAGACATTTTTATCTCCTTGTAAAGGACGTGACCAAGTCCACACACACGGGAGGGTTACTAGAGTCTACAGTCCATCTTTCACACAGTGCCACACGTCCCCCTCTTTTGACTTCTGTGACCCTTCTCTGTTGATGCTTTTAGGTTTATTTCTTTATTTCTTTAATGGAGGCACTGGGGATTGAACCCAAGACCTTGTGCATGCTAATCATGCGCTCTACCACTAAGCCGTACCCTCCCCTATCTTTGTTGATTTTTTTAAAAAACTCAGGTGGCACTAGGATTGCTTAGATCGCACACATCCTCCTTTTCACGTAGGAAGCTGTTATTTCCCCACCAAACAGCTACATGCACCCGGAGCGGTAACAGCGCTGTTTGAAGACATCTCCCTCCCTTAGTGCCGCCTGCCTCCCCGATCACAGGGAGTTTTGCCTTTTTTGTAAATGATGAGTCCCAAGTACCTGGCCAGTCATAGGGTGTGAATAATTTGTGCTGAATGGCTAATGGGTGCAGAGGAAAGCCAGGGCTCATTCTCGCTTATTCTCTTTGAAATCCACCTCCTGTTTTTACACTTTTTTTCCCCTGAAAACTACCATTTTGAGTGTATCTATATCGTGTCCAATTAGATTCACTATTTTAAAAATAAACTATACAATATTTTAAGAACTGGGAGGTACATGTAAGAGACAAGGACAAATTTACCCTCTATAAGAAAGTAGATAAAGAAATGTTTAAAACAATAAATAATTATCATGAAAACATCACTAATCATCAGGGAAATGCAAATCAAAACCAGAATAAGATACCACAGCTGTCAGAATGGCCATCATCAAAAAGAACACAAGTAATGTTGGTGAGTGTGTGGAGAAAAGGGAACCCTTGTACTCGGTTGGTGGAAATGTAAATTGGTGCAACCACTATGAAAAACAAAATGGAGTTTCCTCAAAAAACCAACAAACAGAATTACCATGTAATCCAGCAGTTCCACTCCTGGGTATACATCCAAAGAAAATGAAAACACTAATTTGACAAGATACATGCACCCCAATGTTTACAGCAGCATTATTTACAATTGCTAAGATATGGAAGCAAACAAAGTGTCCATCAACAGATAAATGGATGAAGAAGATGTGGTGTGTGTACACAATGAAATATAAGTCATAGAAAGGAATGAAATGTTACCATTTGCAACAACATGGATGGATCTGGAGTGTATTACGCTTAGTGAAGTAAATCACACAGAGAAAGATAAATATTGTATGCTATCACTTAAATATGGAAACAAAAAAACCCCAAATAATGAATGTATCAAAGCAGAAACAGACTCACAGATACAGAGAAAGAACTAGTGGTTACAGCGCAGAGAGGTACGGGGAGACGGGATTAAGAAGTGCAAACAATTATGTATAAAATAAATAGGCTACAAGGATATATTGTACAACACAGGGAATATAGTCAATATTTTGTTCTAACTATAAACGGAGTATTCTCTTTTAAAAATGTGGATCACTATGTAGTACACTTGAAACTTATATGATACTGGAAATCAACTTCAATAAAAAATAAACAAGATAAAATAAGCACTACGAACATCAGAACAAAAGAATAATGAACTATCCAAAAGGGTAAATAAGAACACTGTAACCGTGACACCCACGTGCACTGCACAAAGAGCCATCATGGCATCTTCACTCGGACGGTATCTCCCTCCCTTCACCTAACTGTCCTCCACATGGTCCAGGATGCTTGCCTTCCCCTGCACATTCATCAGACTCTTACAAGTTACCAGGAAAACCCTACTCCTGATTTAAGCGCATTCTTGGAAACATATCCCAAATACAACCAGCTGCTTGGTCACCAGGGGGTTGGCTCATCCTGTGGATGATTCAAAGCAAGCCAGTCCTGTTCCTGGAAATTAGAGTCAAGGTGCTTGCCCCACCTGTGGAGGGCAAGTCACTCTGTTTCTGGGGTAAAATAACACAAACACAGGCCAAAGATCATTTTAATCAATTCATTATGAGTCATCTTCACAGACTCTTTAACAGATACGATAATATAATAAACTTTCCTAATGTGATTGACAAAGATCCCCACCTAAAATAGTATAGGATCATAGTTTTGGTATACTTGAGTTTGCTGAAAACTAACATACAAAATCCTCTCAAAATTCTTTTGCAGACTTCATTTTTTTAGAAACTTTATTTAAAAGAATGTTCACTAAACTCTATTTTAAAATAAAAGGGAAGGCAGTAGCTATAATTCTGCTTTCCATTTCAAATTTTAAAAGGCTCATTCTTCGTGGTCTTGGCATTTTTCTTGAAATGAACATTATAGTATATTTCAGGAGATAATTTATATTAAAAAAAAAAACCCCACATTGAATGTCCATTTCAACCTAATTTAAACTGTTCACACATTCACTAGGGAACTCAGTCTAGTTGTTGACCTTGGTGAGGGCCTCTGCATCTTCTTGGAATGACGACTCTTGTAGGGTAGGTGACAAGTGAAAGGGCATTTTTTAGAACCCCAGGTCCCAAACCGTAGCGGCAACAAATTGACCTGGGGAGCTTATTCAAAACACAACGGCTGAACACAGTTGGAAACCCCTAGTAGCTTCTGCTTCTGTAGGTTTGGGACCAGACCGTGGAAGCTGCAAGTCTAAAACGTACACGTATGCCGTAGACGGTATTCTAGTCCGGGGACCCTACTGAGAAGTTACAGGTGCCCACATTTTTAAAGGAAAAACGGGTTCCCATAGAATCAAGAGTGTAAATCACCCCCCTCAAGAGCAAGCAGATCCAACCTGGGCCTCCCTGACCCTTCTGGTCCTTTTCCTGCAGGTTAGGCAGGCATCGGGGGCCCAGGTGTGCTGGCCAGGTGCTCGCCCTGTCCCTGTAAGGGAGTCTGAAGGAGGGATCTCAGAGTCACACACAGCATATCCCAGCGGTTCTGCAGCACCTCGGGCCTCTACCTGCCGACCCTCCCGCCCCTCACCACACCTGTGAGGCCGCTCAGCCCACTACCCCCGGGTGGCAGGTGCCGCCTGAGGACTGGGGGATGAAGCTGGTACAGAGGGGGACAGATGGGAAAAGGGTACTAAGAAGGGACGGAGAGGGGTGGGGAGGATGGAGGGTAACAGAGCAGGACAGGCCGGCACCGAGGTTGGAGGGGAGGGACAGAGGGGACCCGGCCTGGCTCCCTCAGCCGGGTGGCAGCGCACTGAGAAGGGGACCGGAGCAGGGCACGGGGCCCGGCTGACCGGCCTGGGTGACGAGGACCAGGGACCAGCCCGGATGATGGGGAAGAGGACGGGGATCGGGAAG